AGCTCAACTTGTTGTGAAAGGTTTTTGACAAGTTTAAGGAGTTGACTACGATGAGACTTCCTCACCCGTAGCGATGCTTAAGTCCGTCCGAATCATGTTAGCAATTGCCGAATTTTATGATTATGAAATTTTGCAAATGGATGTAAAGACTGCATTTCTGAATGGATTTCTGGAAGAAGAGTTGTATATGATGCAACCCAAAGGTTTTATCGATCCAAAGAGAGCTAACAAAGTGTGCAAGCTCCAGCGATCCATCTATGGACTGGTGCAAGCATCTCGGAGTTGGAATAAACATTTTGATAGTGTTATCAAAGCATATGGTTTTATACGGACTTTTGGAGAAGCCTGTATTTACAAGAAAGTGAGTGGGAGCTCTGTAGCATTTCTAATATTATATGTGGATGACATATTGTTGATTGGAAATGATATAGAATTTCTGGATAGCATAAAAGGATACTTGAATAAGAGTTTTTCAATGAAAGACCTCGGTGAAGCTGTTTATATATTGGGCATCAAGATCTATAGATATAGATCAAGACGCTTAATTGGACTTTCACAAAGCACATACCTTGATAAAGTTTTGAAGAAGTCCAAAATGGATCAAGCAAAGAAAGGGTTCTTGCCTGTGTTACAAGGTGTTAAGTTGAGTCAGACTCAATGCTCGACCAATGCAGAAGATAGAGAGAAAATGAAAGATGTTCCCTATGCTTCAGCCATAGGCTTTATCATGTATGCAATGTTGTGTACTAGACCTGATGTGTGCCTTGTTATTAGTTTAGCAGGGAGGTACCAAAGTAATCCAGGAGTGGATCACTGGACAGCGGTCAAGAACATCCTGAAATACCTGAAAAGGACTAAGGATATGTTTCTTGTTTATGGAGGTGAAAAAGAGCTCATCGTAAATGGTTACGTCGATGCAAGCATTGACACTGATCCGGATGACTCTAAGTCACAAATCGGATACGTGTTTTTATGGAACGGTGGAGCTGTCAGTTGGTGCAGTTCTAAGCAAAGCGTCGTGGCGGGATCTACTTGTGAAGCGGAGTACATAGCTGCTTCGGAAGCAGCAAATGAAGGAGTCTGGATGAAGGAGTTCATATCCGATCTAGGTGTCATACCTAGTGCATCGGGTCCAATGAAAATCTTTTGTGACAATACTGGTGCAATTGCCTTGGCAAAGGAATCCAGATTTCACAAAAGAACCAAGCACATCAAGAGACGCTTCAATTCCATCCGCGATCAAGTCAAGGAGGGAGACATAGAGATTTGCAAGATACATACGGATCTGAATGTTGCAGACCCATTGACTAAGCCTCTCTCACGAGCAAAACATGATCAGCACCAAGACTCCATGGGTGTTAGAATCATTACTGTGTAATCTAGATTATTGACTCTAGTGCAAGTGGGAGACTGGAGGAAATATGCCCTAGAGGCAATAATAAAGTTGTTATTTATATTTCCTTATATCATGATAAATGTTTATTATTCATGCTAGAATTGTATTAACCGGAAACTTAGTACATGTGTGACTACATAGACAAATAGAGTGTCACTAGTTTGCCTCTACTTGACTAGCTTGTTGAATCAATGATGGTTATGTTTCCTAACCATAGACATGATTTGTCATTTGATTAACGAGATCACATCATTACAGAATGATGTGATTGACTTGACCCATCTGTTAGCTTAGCACGATGATCGTTTAGTTTGTTGCTATTGCTTTCTTCATGACTTATACATGTTCCTATGACTATGAGATTATGCAACTCCCGAGTACCGGAGGAACACTTTGTGTGCTACCAAACATCACAACGTAACTGGGTGATTATAAAGGTGCTCTACAGGTGTCTCCGATGGTACTTGTTGAGTTGGCATAGATCAAGATTAGGATTTGTCACTCCGATTGTCGGAGAGGTATCTCTGGGCCCTCTCGGTAATGCACATCTCTATAAGCCTTGCAAGCAATGCAACTAATGAGTTAGTTGCGGGATGACGTATTACGGAACGAGTAAAGAGACTTTCCGGTAACAAGATTGAACTAGGTATTGAGACACCGATGATCGAATCTCGGGCAAGTAACATACCGATGACAAAGGGAACAACGTATGTTGTTATGCGGTTTGACCGATAAAGATCTTCGGAGAATATGTAGGAACCAATATGAGCATCCAGGTTCCGCTATTGGTTATTGACCGGAGACGAGTCTCGGTCATGTCTACATAGTTCTCGAACCCGTAGGGTCCGCACGCTTAAAATTCAGTGACGATCGGTAATATGAGTTTATGTGTTTTGATGTACCGAAGGTAGTTCGGAGTCCCGGATATGATCACGGACATGACAAGGAGTCTCGAAATGGTCGAGACATAAAGATTGATATATTGGAAGCCTATATTTGGACATCAGAATGGTTCCGGGTGAAATCAGGATTTTACCGGAGTGCCGGGGGGATGACCGGAACCCCCCGGGGGTTAATGGGCCTTGTTAGGCCCTAGTGGAGAGAGTGAGGGGCCGGCCAGGGCAGGGCCGCGCGCCCCTCCCCTTGAGTTCGAATAGGACAAGGAAGGGGGGTAGCGCCCCCTTGCCTTTCCCCTTTCCCACTCCTTCCTTCCCCCTCCTAGTGGGACTAGGAAAGGGGAGTCCTACTCCCACTAGGAGGAGGACTCCTCTTCCTGGTGCGCCCTACTAGGGCCAGCCAGCCTCCCCCCTTGCTCCTTTTTATACGGGGGCAGGGGGCACCCCAAGACACACAAGTTGATCAGTTGATCTTTTAGCCGTGTGTGGTGCCCCCCTCCACCATAATCCACCTCGGTCATATCGTAGCGGTGCTTAGGCGAAGCCCTGCGTCGGTAGCATCATCATCACCGTCATCACACCGTCGTGCTGACGAAACTCCCTCAAAGCTCTGCTGGATCGGAGTTCATGGGACGTCACCGAGCTGAACGTGTGCTGAACTCGGAGGTGCCGTACGTTCGGTACTTGGATCGGTCAGATCGTGAAGACGTACGACTACATCAATCGTGTTCTCATAACGCTTCCGCTTACGGTCTACGAGGGTACGTGGACGACACTCTCCCCTCTCGTTGCTATGCATCACCATGATCTTGCGTGTGCGTAGGAAATTTTTTGAAATTACTACGTTCCCAACAATTCACAGTTTCAATTTTCACATAGCAATTAGTAAGTAGCAGCACTCAACATCACAGAGTAGCCGAGCGAAGGCCGGGGGGAGGTATGTAAGTGAGGCCTCCATGAGGGGAGACAACCGGAGGGAGGCTTAGCCTGGTCATCGATTTGAATGGAGTGTCGGAGCTGCGTAGGATGGGAGACCAGGCGGCGCCGTCCACCTCTCCCCGGGCGTCGACAATCAACAGAGACAGTGGCGGCGCGGACGGCGGGAGTGGCCGTGGGGGCTGGTGGCCTGGTGTTGCTCACAATAAGGGACTGGAACGAAGAGGGACTGAGGGTGAGACGGAGGCGGCATCGCTGCACCAAGGCGCCAGGCAAGGGTGGCGGCTGCGCCAGGCTAGAGAGGTGGTGGCGGATGGGAACCCTACAAAAGAGGGCTTCTTTCTCTTTTCCAATTCTACCCCCAGCTTCTGCACACGAAATCGAGTGGATCGAGGGGCTTCTTCGGAAACACTATGGTTTTCTTGAAACCGCACGGTTCATCTGTTTTTACAAAAACCGCCCGGTTCGGCTGGTTTTTTCGATTCAATTGCTTGAATGGTCTGCTGGCTTAGAGAACTGCTGGGATCCCTGGTTTCGATATTTTCTGGTCCGGTTTTTTAAACTATGCTTCCATCTATATGTTGTCGGACCACGACCGTCACTAATCATCGGACTCTGAGGGGTTGCCTGCGTTGCTACTGCGCTACTACAACGAACGCTAGCTCCTGCTATGTTGCAAGCGACGATGATGGCTACCGCATACTGTTAGAGTTATGTCGAATATTATTGCACAAGGTAGGTTACAGTTGGATTTAGAGTCGTATGGTGTGTAGACAGGATATGGAGTCGTGTCCAATTAGGACACTTGTATCTAGGTCTCTTATATAATGAGAGAATAGACACACGATGTAACATATGCCGACATAATAACACAAGTACATAGGGGGAGCCGGCGCCCGAACGGCCGGGGTGTGATATTGTAGCGGTGTCATGGGGAGTGCCCGTAGTCAGGTCCCGGGGATGCAGCCATATCGGTGAACCTCGTTAGCAAATGTCGGTGTCATGCTTGTAGGATTGTTTGGTCCTCCGTAGGTTGACCGCGTATCTCAGATTAATTCTAACAGATACACTAGGTGTTGCAAGCGGTATGGGCACCTGCTGCAAGCTGGAGTACGGGAGCTTCAATCTCGACTACCAATGCTGCGGCCCAAGCCAATGGCGGTGCAAGCGCGAGGCAGCGATGCTGCATCAGCCGCCAGTGATGCTGCGAGCAGTGGACGGTGACCGGCGGCCCAGCATTGCTGGGAGTGCTGCCACACACTACTGCATGGGGTGACCACCGCTGCGGCAAAGGACGCTTGCGCCGATCCCGATGATGCAAGGATGACGGCCCGTGCCACGACCAGAGATGCGCGGTGATGAGCCCGTGATGCACAATGCTGCGGCCAAGAAACATGCCGCGGCAAAGGATGAAGAAGTTAGGCTTATATTTCTCCAAATCGAGTGCGTTGTGATCTATGCTTGTACAGATCGATGCCACTCTCTCACTGAGCCTCTTCTTCTACAGAACAAAACCAAAAATGGTACATAAACCGAAACAGGAGTCAAAAGAAGCAAGACCAGAATTTTGATTAGATCTATGTTTGCTTCCCAGTCAATATGTGTCGCAGTTACACAAAACATATTTACATTTTCTCGAGAAAACCTAGCTCCTATAGTTTTCAGTGGTTAACAAAAGGCAAGAAGCCTCCTCAAAACCAGGGCTTCACGAACTCCACTTCTAAAGCTGGGAGTGTCGGCTTTTTTTCTTTCTTCTTCCTAAATCCTAAGTCTCAAAAATTCAGGTGAGCCCGAACAACATCGTCGATAGGAGATTGACAGATTGGGCAACTCTCGCTGCTCGATTTCAGCTGATCAGCACAGTTGAAGCAGGTGCACATATGGCCACACCTGAATGAACATCAACTCGGTTAGCAAGACTCCACACAACAATTCAAGGTTAAAGTGAGTCAAAAGTACATAATGTGTGTGTTCCTGCAAATCATTATAACCTGTAAAGTAAAGAGTCAACTTGCATCTCATGGCAGATGCAGCACGTGCCCTTTTTTGCTGTTATGTCAGGCTGGCTTGGCATCAACCCTGTTCAAAAGATTGCATCAGGCTTAAGAAAAAAAATTGATGATTATGAGTAGAACTAAAATGTCAGTGAGCTACTGTGGGGTAGTGGTAAACGGAAAACAAATCCAAGTTCAGATGGTACTCAACAGACTGAATTACAAAACCTGACACGCCAAGATTTAAGCAGCGAGTGGTCCAGCCCAAGAAGAACAGAATATATTGTTTAGCTTAGAAGACCAGAGTGACTCTTTTCCAAACAGTGCCACTCGAAAGTAGCTGTGGTCCTTTTTTTCAAGATTTCATCTGCCTAGCCTTTTAAGCAAAACTAGCTCACATGTCACCAGACATATTGCCTTCAATGCAAAATTATTTTCCAAATAAAAAAGAAACTTCAACTTCATCCTATTTTATGCCGAACAGGACCAGATATAGAAGAGACACAGACATAAAAAATCTTTTGTCGCAACTCACCAGCTTCGCGAAGTGCGCTGCACACCTCTTCTTTAATGGAATGCTGCATCTTTACTTGGGATGCAATACAAGTTTCTGCCAACTTACGTAGTTCATATATTTCATGATGAATCTGGGCCATTTCACTTCTTACCCTGACCTCCATTTCCTGTAACAGACAGCATAGTAAGAACATGTCTTTCCACAATTGACATTGAACAGCAGCTGACTCACAAGCAAATTTTGATTTTCATGTTGTTGTTGTTCTAATGATGAGTGCTGCCAATTGTCTTGGTGGTGGGCTGTGACATGGGAGACAGGTGCTAATGAACACGGTGCAGATGCCACCTGATCTTCATTCCGGGGTTCATCATTCTGTTGCCAGTATAAGTGTTCTGGATAGTAACCCCCAAATTCATCAATCATGTGTTCTTGTCTTTGCTTCTGCAGAATTGCTCTCAGGAGATGGTTCATTTTATTGCTAAAATCACTCTCAAGGGAATTTGAGACCTTTTTGCTGCATGGAAGAAACAAATATGTTACGGTTAACAAAATAAAAATAGGGGACGCTCATTATTGACTCTGATTGCCACCTGCAAGGTGGCATGTGTTAACCTTGTTTAAAAAGGTGATAATACGGTATATATAACATGTCTAATGTTTAAGCTTGTTTAGCCTATTTGTTTTATTGTTTTCTCTTGTCATTTTGTTAGGATAGCCTGGCAGTTTATTTCTCTTTCCTTCTACTCCCTCCGTCCCATAATGTAAGACGTTTTTTACTCTAGTGTAGAGTCAGAAAACGTCTTACATTATGGGACGGAGGGAGTAGTTTTTGCTTACTGATTTGGTTTTTGGTCGCAGCCATGCTTGTGGTGGCGTATTATGCCTTCTTGGTGTTCTCTTCTAATAAAAAAATACCTTTTAAGCTTGTTTAAGCTTTAGTGGCTTTTTATTGGTAGGCTAGCCAAGTTTTACGGAACACTTGCATCTCAGTATGTCTTCATAAAAAAAAGTTTTGCTGGAGTGAACCAAGTGCATCTAGTTGCGCAGGTGGAGATGTGCAAAACATATACTGGGAATTAGAGGGAAATTACCTCTCAAGAAGATTACAAATATCAGCGTTGCCAGACAAATCTCGACTGTCTGCTTGTGTGGCAATATGCAATGATCTCCATGAGTTAGGGGAGTCTATCCAAGGCCGATCATTAAATTCAATCTGATTATGGTTCTCCATATCCCCAATTGCACCCTGATGCCAGCTGTCCGGACTCATGGAATCTACTGGTGCGGGCCAACCAAGACTGCTCATCCATAGTGCTCTCTCGTCCCAAGAACCATTCAGACTTTGGTTGTCTTCTTCTCGTAAAGTTTCACCTCTTGATGAAGGAGTTTCTTGAAGTTCACACGATGTGCTTATAGTACTTGGGGAGATATCATCCATATATTGATTATCGTAGACAACACGATGATCACCGTACCTTGCAAAGCTTGAAGCTTTAGAACTTTCTTGTCTTCCCTTTGTGTCTATCTTCTCATCATATTGATTGCCCTTTGTGTCTATCTTCTCATCATATTGTCGATTTCCTGAACCGTGGGAGTTAACAAGGCTCTCAATCGCTAGCCCGGTAGACTTCTCCGCAGATGGATTTCTATCATCACTATGTTGTTCATCAGCCCTGCACTTCGTGAAAACAAGTATTGCTTTAGGCATACATGAGAGTAGACGGAAATCAAGTACGAGTACTTAATAGATACGACCAAGGACAAACCCAACTTCTCCATCTAAGCTATTTGAAACAGTAGTTTACCTATTATTTTGCGGACTGCATTCATTTGCATCTTGTGAATCTGTCTTGCTGCTATCATCTCTGCCCATCCGAAATTGCAATCATCAAGAGCATACTACAGACTTAAATACGTGTTGTTGTGACATTCTAAGAAAAGACCAAGAAGACAAACATGTACTAATACACCAAAATTGTTCAGAGATCCTTTTTATCCACCAAAATTGTCTCAAGCCATCTTATGTAAGAGAGAGAAAAAACGTGCTAATACCTCAATGCCTCAGGTCTGCATTTTGGTGGGTGTGGCCTAACAGGTCTTAGTAGATTCCACACTTCATCGTTAATTGCGTCTCCATGACGCAATAGCTTTAGACGAAGCATGGACTGCAGCATATCAAAGAACATTTTAAGATGAGAAGCAGTGATTATTGCATAAACATGCTTCAAAGGGACGGGATAAAAAAGCAGCGCCTCGAGAAATAGAACAGAGAATACAGATACCAATACCATGCCAATAATGTTCCAGGGAGTAAATAAATGAGTTCATGCGAGCAGACAAGTAGTCTGGTATTTAGTAACAGACTTTGCAGTAGAGGGAAGAATAATCTTGTCCTTGGAGGAAGGAATAATGAAAGAAAAAGGAATGTTTTATTTATGTTAGTTGCTAATGCCAGGAATATGTGGAGGGAGGGAACGCTGTTAATCAATGAAATGCATGCTCGAAATTTCTGCAAACAAGAACAGTTGCTTTCAAGGATGGCAATTCTTCAGAACCACGCTGTCATTGCCTTGTCCAGTTAAAAGTTCATTTTTCCTAGGTACCATGCACATCAATATTGGCTGGAGTTGGAGTAAAGGAAAAACAAAAATGTTTCAAGTAACTGAAGGGGCCCGCGCCGCTAGCTCTGGGAAAAAACGGCTGGCGACAGCTAGCTCTCCTCTCTCCTCTGCCCGCGCCGCTGGCCGCTCCGGGCCGCGGCGGCCACCAAATCCCGGCCGTTATGGCTGCCAGCTGCGCCTCCTGCTTCCCCGCGCAGGCCCGTCGGAGCCCCTCCCCGCCCACTGGGGCCGCGTTTCGATCCGGTGGACCATCCCAGCTCTCCTCCCCTCGGTCTGCGGCCTCGACGGCAGCTGCGTCAGATCCGGCCTCGACGCCGCGAATCCTGCGGCGCGGCGAGCCATCCGGGGCCGGGGCGCGGCTCGGACCGCCGGATCTGGGGGCCAGGCGCGCCTTAAATCCGTTGTGGTTCGCCCCTCCTCACCG